TAAGTGGTTACATCTATAACAAGCAAATAGGTATTTGAACATACACTTCCTAAATAAGAACATTTAATTTTGCAAAAAGAAGCTAACAAAGTGATATATTGCTAAAAATTCGTGTGGATACGTAAATCGTAAATAAACACAAACTTACTCACACAATCATACGCAATAATACTCGTGGCACTACATTTCAGTCTTGCAGTATTTAATTAAGGGTATACACCCTTATAACTATATATACATATAGTTATCACTGTTGTGCTAATATTATCCATGGAAATATTGTTCCCAAGTGGTAGAGGGAGATCTAGGCCCTTAATCTGCTAATCGATAGAGTGCCAATAGCACGATTTTGTACGTTTGGTATTTGTTATTTTGCTACAAGTTAAGAGTAGTGGCTTGTCAGTGGCAACAGCGCGTAGTCTACTAATTATTTAACATTTCTTTAGATTCCTTTTTCATTTACAAATTTAAGGGCTTATAAATATGGATTATCGAGTATTATTTTATAAAAACTTTGAAGATTAAATTGCTGATAAAAATTAAAACATGCATTGTAACTTCCACGGTAGTTTTGGTAAAGCAACATCTATCATTAGGGATTAACTACCTCCGTGGCCGAACGGTTACCATGCCGGCCTGACACGCAGAGGTCCCAGGTTCGATTCCCGGGCCGAGAGAAATATTTGTATGACCTACATTTATTTCTCTCGTGAGTTTGGGTGCAATTTGTGGTTTTCTATGTGTGTGTCCATGGCACCTGCGACACAGGGTTTCCCTAGTGCGGGGCTATATTGAGAGTGTGCGTTATTATAATGAATAAAGCCAACAGTGCCATTGCAAGTAGATTTTAGCAGAATCACAAATATTAACAAAAAAAAGGAAAAAGAAAAAAAAATCTATGTGTTCGATCTTGGTGTTCATAATCATAACAAATCTAGTGGAGTTATTTCACAAAAAAGTCAATAAATAAATGTTATCATAACTTCAATCTTAGTGGAATTTCAATGGAATTACAATGACTTTTGAATTATCCGGTTTTGAAGGGTAAGGTTACTGGTGAAATTACAGGCACATGTGACTTGTCAACTTATGCCTCAAGGTGTCGGGCGCAGTGCCAGTGCCCCTCAGATTTTTGCGATTTAAAGCTCTGAGGGGCACTGCACCTTTTATGGACAGGCGTATAGCTTACCATTAGGCACATAACTTGTTCGTCCCATCACTTAATATTATAAAAAAGCAGACTAGGTGCCCTGGTGTCCTGAAATGCGGACCTTGAACCTTATTTGGGCATATGGTAGTAAAATTTTTTTATTGCAATCAAAACATTCATCACTGGGACAATAACATAACTAGACGGTGTATCATTGCAAATATTTTTATTAATATTTTCCATTCAACGATAAGGGGACATCTCGAATTTAAACAAGTACTGTATAAATGTAATTAAGATAAAGGATAAGTATGCTATTTACTTATTGTAAGCATAAAACAATAAAATTTTACAGAACTAGAGATTTCACAATAGTAAAATTGTTATCAAAATATAAAGGATGTACAGCAAAGTACAACATATTTTGTACCCATGGTGTTGTAACACACCCAAGCAATGTGGGCCACAATAGACACATATAACCATGCGTCAAAAGTGCGTTTATCAAATGAAAGGGTTAAAAATAATAAGAACTTCTTACTTATATGGCATACACTGTAATGCTAGCTATCGTGGTGTAAGGATTTGTCAATCGGCGTATTAGGATAATCGCCGATTGTTGCCCAAATGGCACCTGACTTACACGCATACAGGAAAGAGATGATACGTTGTCGTGCCGGGAGGCTCCTTTCGTATACCCTACAAACCTTTTGTGCACGAACTACATGAAACATGTGAAAAACGATAACTCAACTATTTATGCATAAAAATGTTATCGACCAATTTGGTTCATAGAATCTTCAAAGTTTTCTACTGATAAGTTGTCATTTTGCAGATGTGGCCTTATTACACCAAGGGAGATTTTTATTTTCGAGTACCTAATCCAATTCCGTCAGATCCCTTAATACTCTGCGCCTGAATTTCCGTCGTATTTCTTTAAAAAAAATTCTCCAATCTTGGCATACAGTTATCCATATTACAAAGAGACCTTGCACCTCCTGAGTCCATTGCCAATTAAATTGGATACTAGGTTAACGTTGCGTATTAATTGACTCGATCGTTTTCCACAACCAGACGCAGTAGCGCCTTTTTGCATGATTTCGTTACACTTCCATATACATATACCTAAACCACTTCCTAATTCGTAATACTAATAAATTACTTACCTATTCAGTATAAACATCAAGATGAACATAGAGCTCCTTGTGAAAGAGTTCATCCAGAGAAGTACGATCACCGTACCTATTTCTGCCGTCAAGTAGTACCTAATATGAGCATAACTGCGTTCCGGTTTTGAAGGGTAAGGGTGCTGATGAAATTACAGACGCGTAGTACTTTTTTTTATAGCGTCAAGTGATGGGACGAGCAGGTACACCTGATGCTGAAGCTGAAGCGCACGCCTGTCCATAACGGCGGCAGAAATAAGTAAGGCATTACTTCCCTAGACGAACTCTTTCACAAGGAGCGCTACTGCTACTAAAGCTTATGGTCTTGGAGTTGTCAACTTATGTCTCAGGGTGACGGGTGCTGTGACAGTGACCATCAGATCTTTGCGATTTAAATCTTTGAGTGGTAATGCAACTGTCGTGGATTAGCGTATTGCTTATCACTTGTTCATCTCGTCGCTTGATATCATATAAAACCATGCATCCAAGGAGATCTTTGCCGATATAAGCAAAATATATAACTGTATCTGTATATATGTACACGTATCTAATAAAATTATGTAATACTGAGTAGCTAGCTTTTAATAGTACTTAATTGAATTAGTACTACTCGAATACTTTTAATGCATAAGTACAAAAAAGATAACAGCTTGGTTCTCGGAATCAAAAGAACCTCAGAAGAAGTCCATCATTCCAAATTCGTGATAAAAAACAATCACGGAAGGTATCGCCTTGTTCGCGGAAAACCATGGAAACAAAAAACCAAAAATACTTTTTCCTTGCACTGTTATTCTAGTATTTATTTGGTCTGTGGTTATCACGGAGAAAAACGTGCCATTTTTTATTCTACCATTGTCAGTAATCATATACTTGGATCTGTACTTGCACGCTTGCTACTCGTACTTAGTATAGCTACAGGCTAAGAATTTCCTTGTAATGTCGAAGTAAAGGAGCCACCACTCTTATTGACACGGAGTCGCATTGCGCCGGTAACAAAAATCTTTGTGCATAGTGTGAAAAAGACGTTAGTTGTATGTTTTACGTCGGCAGTCCGAGCGGAAGCGAAATGCGCAACATCCTTTTCGCTCTTATTGCATGGACATAAAGTTTTTCTTACCGGCTCAAGCCGATTCCGTATATCTCCCTTACTTATAAGAAAAAAGACGACTTTTGATTTTTCCTTCTTTATAAATATAAAAAAGTATCTATTTATTATAATATTTTGTATCGTGATTACCACTCTAAGACTTTACTACTTAAGTGGTAATGAAGATACAAAGTATTTTACGTCGAATATTTTACGTCAATTTACAAAGGATGCTCTAATAAGTCGCTTTCCAAATTTTTTATTAACAGTCTGACAAGCGGGCCAGAGCCCAAAGTTGTTACAATGCAATAGAACATTGCAAATCTGTTATTATCGAAGTCAGGTTCTTTTGATGCGGTCTTAAATATAATTCAACATTTCTATCGCACTTTATAACATCGATGTACTGGTTACTACCTCCAGTCGGCATTTTCCTTTTGTCGCGCGCGCATGTTGCGGAAACGGCAATTTTCCCGCGATAGCAAAAGGCGGGAAAACTTAATTCGTGTTTCGAATATCGTGTTTTGAAAAGTATGAGAGCGAGTTTATAATATGTGATATTTAGTGAAATAATACTGTTTTATTATTATGAAATTAAGCGTACATTGGACGGATAACATGCCTTCAAAAACTAAAGAGGTAAACAAACTTAAATATTTACTTATATTTTTCTACACTGCCTCCGCCGCTTTTCGTAACTGTTTCCGTTATTTTTATAAGAAAAAATCTGAAAAAACATAAAACCTAACCTAAAACGTTCAAGGTTATATGGTTGGCAAGCTCATTTACTATACGATAATGGTCAGATTATAACTTTGATTGATTTAAGACCATCTTCTAAGTATAATTTCTTTTTAATTTAAATTTTTTATGGAAAGTCATGAGTTTCAATCACAAATTAAAAACCTACACACAATAAGCGCCGGAAAAGGATTTCCAGACTGTTACAAAAAAAAACTTGTAACTTTTAGTTTAGCCAAATCATTGTTTTAAAAATAGTGACTATTCCGCATTAAGTTGTTTAGAAAATTGTCACATCCGCGCACATTGTTTTCAGTGTCACATCTATCATTAAATCGTATTATGGAGGTGTCCTAGCTACCAGTATGATGTGGCTTTATTCAAGTGCTAAGTACTAATTATTGATACTGTTCCGGCTATAGGATAGAATTAGTAACTCTTGTATCGAACAATGAAAATATACGTTTCAGCTTTCTGTAGGTACCTATTCTTGGACAATGAATGAAAATACGAGTGTACAAATTACGGGTCGTTAAAAAGTGTGTTTCCTTATTTCCGCTAGACATTTCGAGGACTAAATGACCAAGTTTTTATTGAAAGAAACAGTACAGTATTTTGTGAAAATTTTAGAATTTGAGTGTACGTACCTATACTTTGGATTCTGATTTTTAAGTTTGCTGCCCGTTATTTTCACGATTACTAAAGTAGTTCGTTTGGCCAGTCTCGACTCGTTTGTGTTTTTATGTTCAGCTGCCGTCACCACCCTTGCGTTGTTTAGGATATCGATTTCTCAAACAGTGGAATTTATTTTCTAATTTTGTGTAAAACAAATAATTGTTTTCAAAAAAAGACTTACTGTGCCGCTCGGGGCCACGGCTCCCTCTGCATCCCCCACGCCACGCCATTAGCCCTGTGCCACCTGATTCCAGCGATTTCCGGCCACCTTCCTCAGGTCGTTCGTCTATCTTGCCGCCGGGCGTCCTACCTTGTTTGCCTGACGTGGTCGCCACTCTAGAACAATTACACCTGTTGCATCAGCCATCAGCTCTCCTGTAGACATGTCCAGCCCATTGCCACTTAAGCTTACAGATTTTTCGCGCTACGTCGGTATTTTTAGTTCTCTGACGTACCAATGACTTATTAGGAATTCGGTCCATCACAGAAACCCCAAACATTACTCGCTCCATAAAACGCAGATCGTCTTTAAATTTGTGGATGAGGCCTGTTATTAAAGACTTCGTAGGGTATTAAACGTAAACCCATAAATGTTGCCAAAGACAAACAAAGTATAAATTATTTGACGGTTGTATAGATAGACTTTTTGACATTCGTGACTTAGGAGTAACATTAGATAGTAAGTTAGACTTTCGTAATCATGTGACAGCAATGCGCGGCGAGTAAGACTTTAGGCTTTATTTTGCGGACATGCTATGGGTTCAATGACGTGACAGTGGCGACGGTGTTGTATAACGCCTACGTACGCAGCAAACCAGCTAACTAACAAAAATATGTAGCCATAGTTTGGGACCCTCGTGAATACAAATATTCTATCATGATTGAACAAATTCAGCGTAAAATTTGGACGTTGGCTCTACACGGCAATACGGGTATTACCCATATATGTATCATTCGCCCTTTGCTGCGGGCATGGTGGACTTAGACACTTTGTTTCGTAGACGAAGGATGCTTCTTTTGGCTCAATACATATCCGCAGCATTCCATCTTAAGGTGGATATTGATATAATGTCTAAGGTTGATCTGCTGGTGCCCACGCGTATACCTTGGGGTGAGAAGGGTGCGGCGGCCCCGCTCCACCGACCACTGCTCTTGCGCAAGTCTGTCACTCGTACGGTACATGCCGCAAAACGCGCCTACAGTTCGCGCTATACGCCTGATCGGGGACATACTCACTCAGTGTGATCACATTGACATATATGACTACGCCGAATGCCGCCCAGTGCAAACGAATTCTCCTGTCGGCTTACTTCTCGAGGTTGTCTAGTTTAATTAAATACAGCAATTATTGCCTAATGAGGTATATAAGTATTTACTTAATTTTACAAGAGAGTAACAAAATTGTAACAAGTTCCACCTATCTGTAGCGATAATGCTGCACAAGGCAGAATACGACCCTGGTAGGTCGCGAGAGTTGCGTGACAAACAATCTATAAATAATGCAATAGTGAATAATATGAGCTTATTAAATGCTCTTCTCAATAATTGTTGAACGACAAAACTAACGTGCATTTTGCAAGTACGAATATTGTGTCCGCAAGTATTTGAAATTAAATATACGTCGATTACTTCAATACTTAAACCTGGTTTCAGAACTGTATGTGAAATTGTTTGAAACACACTTTCTAAACATCGTAAGACAAGTATAGTAACTCCATAGAAAACGTAGCAGCGCGGCTTGTAAGTCCCGCGCGCCCGCCCACACGCCGTGTACAGACGCACACATTCGTATAATAATGAAAGGCGCGTGATACGAACGAGCGCTATGCAACGCGAGTGCATCACGAGATTAGACGAGCGCAAAACAGTACCTCGAAAAGTAATGTGATATCACATTACATTCCCGTAAAAGTGATATTACACTGTGATATCACTATTACTCACAATATCACAGTCTAACACAACCAAAAAAATATATATACCGACGAATTGAGAGCCTCCTCCTTTTTTTTAAAGCCGGTTAAAAACGCGATGCGTTTTAAAACAACCTATAAAACGCATTTCTGGAACTTAAACTTGCATTATAAACAAGATCTACTTACATATTACTCCTGAGAATCAAACAAAAATTACGAAATACTAAGAACTGTCTGGCAACCTACACTCACTCACCCTGGTTAAATTTTACATTATAAATTACCGGGTAAAAAAAATCAAAATATTGTATTTAATCAAGCAATGATTAATAATTATGCAATTTCATTTTAAATGTCTACCGTTTAATTCGTTTACACCATCTAGTAAGTTGTAAAATAACAAATGCACTCCAAAAATCAGACCTTAATTAAAAGTTGTTACATAACCTCACTCTTACTAAATCTCTTATAGCTCTGCTCTCAGTTCGATTCGCAGAATTCCCAATTTTTTTTTTGTAAAATATAAGTGCGCATTTGACCTCCATCTCACCTGATGGAAAGTGACGATGAGGTCGAGGATGTAGCATGCACACCTAAATAATGCCTATTCACTCCGCCGTGAAAAGGTCCAAGTTATAGCGTTCGGGGAACAAGTCTGCAGGCAGGGAATTCCACTCCCGAGCCGCTGGCCATACAAATGTGGAAGCGAAACGCTTCGTGCGAATCCGGGAAATATCCACAACATAGAGGTGGAACCCCCGCCCACGTCTAGTCTCCCGATGATGGAATTTTTTCTCATTTTTTTGATTAAGGTAGGGCTTTGCGTAGTCGAGCATCTGCCATCAGTGATGGTATATCAATACCTACGCAATTAACTGATACCACCTTCATGTTTTTACATCTTGCATTGATTGTATTAAAACGTATCCACCTCCTTCTAGATTACCAAGAAAAATCTAAATATTATATTTAACCAAGCACTGATTAACAAATTATGCAATTTCATTTTAAATTGTCTACGGTTTAATCCCTTTACACCATTTAGTAAGTAATTAAATAATTGGAGTACTAATACAAACGTCGTTCTACTGCAATATATGAAATTAGATGCATTTACATTGCATTTCGCGTGCTATTAACGAAATTGTGCAAATGTGTGGGTCCGTATTTCGCGTCGGGTGCGCACACAACAAACCGCACAGATACGTTTGTATGGAGTTACCATGCTTATCTTATACTATGTAAACACACATGATAATTCACCGGGATTGACACGATACAGCCCTAGAAACGTATAAAGACACTTTAGGCATTTTAGTAGCAGAGCTGCTTGAGAGAGTGTGCCTCCAAGAAAGTACTGCCACCATGCCTATTTCTGTCGTCAAGCAGTAACGAGAGAGTTACTGCGTTCTGATTTTAAAGGGTGAGGGGGCTGGTGAAATTGCAGGTTCACTGTCAAGTTTATGTACCAGAGTAAAGGGCGCAGTGGCAATGCCCTCGAAATCTTTGCGATTTAAAACTCTTGAGTGGCACTGCAACTTACTTTTTTTTTACTTTTTTGGGTAGCCGTAATTCTACCAAGCGCACGACCTAGTCTCGTTAAAAAACAAAGACGTTTCTTAATTCCGTTGGATATTATAAGGATGGTTTATTCAGAGCCTGTGCTTCAAGCCTTCATCATTGCCACCACCAATTAATCTATTGTATTGATACTGATGCATATTGCAGCCACTAATTATTGGTTCCGATTTGACGTTGATGTCATTAACTGAACATAACAATAAGTAATAATATATTACCTAACATTTATAGAATTCCATCATGATTACCCACAATCATATCTACTTTTATTAAATTATTATGAATGGCATTGAAAAAAATAACATGTTACGTCTCAAGTCTATTCATAGTTTTCCAACTATTTCTCGGTTTCACTGAAAATGGATGAATGCTAACTAGTGATGTACCGAATTGGAACGAATACGAATAATCGGCCTAATGTCCTGTAAAAAAAACTACCGAATCGAATATTCGACGGAACGATTCGGTAGGATTGGAATCCCTATGTAAAATGTAGTGTTGTAAAACGATTTATGATTATATCTATCAATTTTCTTCTTTCAATGACTTATTTGAACTTACTAGACATGCAAAGAAGTCTAGTTGAAAAAAAAAATTGTACTATATTTCGTCGGCTAAAAAGTTATGTAAGTATTTTTTTTATAATACTAAGTGACGGGAGGAACAAGTCGTGTGCCTGGTGGAAAGCGACACGCTTGTCCCTAACAGTTGCAGTGCCACTCAGAGCTTTAGATTACAAAGACCTGAGGGGCACTGCCACTGCGCCCGACACCGTGAAAGTAGCAGTACTTCCCTGGACGAACTCTTTCACAAGGAGCTCTACTACTACCAAAAAGTATGTAGGTACCTAAATAATATTCTTAATAAAAGTATGTTCAGCAGAAAAGTCGACATTTTTAGAATAGTCGGTCGAATGAACATGTTCAGTAAACCTGCCAAACATACCGAATACCGAAATGAATATTCCACTCTCCAGTAAAACATGATGTTTAAATAATTAATGTCATTATTCCTACCATATTGTTTAATAAGCTATTATAGATTGAAACATTATTTGTTATAAAAAGAAATTAAGTACTTGCATTTCTGTTTCTATTCGTCAGACGCAGACCATGACGACGACGACTATACTGACAAAGTTTTAGCAATGGGCGGTATTGCCATAAACAACGCATTTGCGTTTTGGTAGATAATTTTCGAGACATTGGCACCCAATTTTTTTTTTACGGAAAATGTCAACTACGTTGATATTGCTTGACAACAAATCTGAAACTACTTAAATAATAAGTTTTAAGTAGTTAAGTTATCCATAATATTAACCTGAGAGTTAAGTCCAAACTCATGGTACCACGATTTAGTTTAAACGACTCTTTTACGGGGAACTGTATACGTTTTTACAATAAGATTCCGGAACATATATTGATTATCGTTTCTTAAATTTAAAAACTACATTAAAAATATTATGATTATAAAGTTATATTACAAAACTGAAGAATACGTGTTAGATAAAGACGACATGGCTCTAGAAGATTACATTAAATTAAATTAGATTCAAATTGTATTCCATAGCATTTAGGTTTATTTGAAAGAACAATCCCTATAGTTTCTTGCTCGTTCTTCTCAGGGAAGTTAGCGCAGTGAAGGAGCAGTAGCTTAAATGTGACGTTTTCAAAAGTTAATTTATTTTACCTATGGAATAAATGTTTCTTTCAGTTTAACTTTGACTTACTAACCAATTTCTAAAAGTGTGGATTAGTACAATAATAATAATAGCGCACACACTCATAGCCCCGCACTGGGGAAACCCTGTATCGCGGGTGCTATGGGCACACACCTAGACAAACACAACTTACACCTTAACTCACGAGAGAAATAAATGTAGGCCATACATATATTTCTCCCAGCCCGGAAATCAAACCCTCGGGACCTCGGCGTGGCAGACCAGCATGGTTAGTACATTATTTATGATAAGGACGGCAGAATAGAT